CCTCCTTCCCTGTTTCCTTCACACCGCCATCCTTCCTGCCTCTTCGCCACTGCCATCTGCATTTCAGTGACCCATACACGCATACCTCAAAGCCAAGGGACTGTTTGGGATTACAAATTCATCCCATTGCCTCAAAGGGACAAAAAATGAAGCTAGTCCAAGTCCAACTTTCTCCCAAGACAGCTTTCTTGAGTGTCCATGCCTGGGTGGCCACGAAGACCCCTATAGTTATGGAGGATTGAGCCCTGCTGGTTCATTCTTGACAGCACCTGCTCCTTCGTTGCCATAGCAACCTGTCTGTCCAGTTAGCTTCATTCTCTAGCTGCACTCCTTGCTTCCCCTTCCTTCCCACTGTGTGCTCCGGTGCAGCACATCAAAGCTCATCTTGAACTCCTGATCCTCTAACCTCCACATCCAGGGTGCTGGGAGTGCACGAGGCACCGCTCTGCGTGATTTTTGTGTGGTGCTGAGAATGAGCCCGGTGCCTGCATGCTAGGAAAACACTCTACCTGTAGCAGGCTTTCTTTGGGATCAACCCCTCCAAATAAAGACACGGAGACTTATTATTAGTTATGAATGCTTGGCCTTATCTTATGCTTGTCCCACTGGCTCTTATAACTTATTTTAACCAGTTTCTTTTCATCTATGTTTGCCTTGGGGCTTTTTATCTTTCTTTCATTCTGTATGGGCTGGTTTTCCTGCTTCTTCCATGTCTGACTGTCTGTCTGACACTCCCCGCCCCGGCATCTCCCTCTCTTTATCCTTCATTCTCTTCTTGTTCTCTTCTCTTAGGCCTAGACTCCTCCTCCTACTTATTCTCTCTGCCTGCCAGCCCCGCCTATCCCTCCTCTGCCTAGCTATTGGCTGTTCAGCTTTTTATTAGACCAATCAGGTGCCTTAGGCAGGCATGGTAAAACAATTGCAACACATCTTTACATCATTAAACAAATGCAACACAAACAAATGTAACACATCTCTTTGCCTAGTTAAACAAATGCAACATAAACAAATGTAACACCTCTTTACATGGTTAAAGTAATATTCCACAACATGGACCAAGTGAACTACATCAGCAACCCAGTTTTGAGCTCTTGGCTGGCTATTTTAATAATGATTTTGTTGATTTTTCAGCATTCTTTATTTCTTTATTCTTTATTCACACAGAGCTGTGGTTAGATTTGAAGTGAGTAGCTGTTCCCCTGTTTTGATTGCCCAAGTTGAACTGTAATGATAAAATTCTTAGAAGATAGCCATTTGGAAATTTTGAATTTATTCTCTCTAATGATATATATTTTTTTTTTTTGGTTTTTCGAGACAGGGTTTCTCTGTGTAGTTTTGCGCCTTTCCTGGAACTCACTTGGTAGCCCAGGCTGGCCTCGAACTCACAGAGATCCACCTGGCTCTGCCTTCCGAGTGCCGGGATTAAAGACGTGCACCACCACCGCCCGGCTATCTAATGATATTTTTAATTTGCTTGATGAGTATTTCTATCAGTAGTTTTTTGTTCTATTTTGTTTTGTGTTCCTAATTTAGAGAGAATTCGGCCGGGTAGTGTAGTGTGCACCTTGTAATCTCAGCATGGTTTACAGTTTACTTAGACACTAACTCAATCTCAAACCCTGCCCCAAAAAGTAGTTCATGGAAGGCAGATTAAGCTCTGGTTACTGTTTCAAACCAAATACCATTTTGAAAATCTAACCTTAAACCCCACAAAGGCTTTGGCTTTACCAGTAGGACTCAGAGATTAGCACTGTCCACCTGTGTCCGGGGATACTCACATCACAAAGACTCTGTTTTAAAACTTCATCCTGCCATTTCAGAAAGCATTCATTTCCCTGCTATTTAGAGAAGCAGAAACTAGGGCTAGAGAGATGGTACCTAGATGCACTTACTGTTCTTCCAGAGGACCTGGGTGTGGTTCCCAGCATCCACATTTGGCAGCTAATAACCATCTGTAATTCCAGCTTCAGGGAAGCTGGCACCTTTGGTCTGTGGGCACCTGCACGCACGTATACCTACCCACGTGCCGACATATACTGGCACACAAGAAAACTTAAAGTAACTTTAAAAAGAAACAAAACTCAAGATTCATTTATTCATTTTTCTTCTGCCGCTACAGTTCAGACAACAGCTACAGCAGGATCCTCCAAAGACAATGGCTGCCTGGCAGTTTTTTCAGAGAAGTATCATTTTAAGGGAATTGTTTCACTTTTAAATTTTTAAATTCTTTTTAATTGTGTGTACATATGCATGTGAGTGCAAGCTCCTGCAGAGTGTAGAGGACAGTGCTGGGGCCCTGGGAACTATAGGTATAGGTGGTCCTGAGCTACTTGATCTGAGGCACAGAGAACTGAACTTGTGAACTTGGGTCCTCTGAAAAAGCCGTACCTTCCCTTTTATCACTCAGCCATCTCTCCTGCCCCAAAGGGTATTATTTTTTAAGTTTCTTTCTTATTTTTTGAAAACAGTACCTCATGTAACACAGGCTGACCTCCGACTCACTCTGACCTTGAAATCCTGATCCTCCAACATTTATTCCAGAGTGCTGGGATTATAACCCCATCCCACTGCGTGTGGTTATAAATTGTGATTTCATATCCTTTCCAAGTTCCTCTTCTTCCATGTCAGGTGTTGGTTAGTGCCTAAGAATACTTTGCCTTTCTATATCCATAGGTTTGACTTTAAAAACAGCATAATGCAAATCTCCACTGAACTTGATTTGGTTTTAAGCTACTTTGGGATCCCCATATTGTACCGATCTGAAGTACCAGGTGGCTCCAAAGGCCTTCTGGGAGCAATGACTCTCCTTTTATTTCTGGCAAATTGATATGGCTTGGTGAAATGAGAATGAGCAGGGCATTTCCACTCAGCTAGTTCTTACTGGTGAGGCCAGGTTCTGACCCTGCTCAAGCAGGCCTCATGCTGCCTCTGAGGTGGTCCTGACCACCACAGCCTCTGTCCAGCACTCCTTTAGGGCAGCAGGTAGATAAATCACCCCGTAGGTGGAAGCAGGCCCTATCTCCTCGGCAGATCTGTAATATCAAGAAGAGGGATGTGTGCACGAGACAAAAAAAATCAAACTAGGAATACTGCCAAATTCTTCCTCTGTCTCACACTTGCTCTCCCATAAAGCCGGCCGGCCTATCTCCCTGGGTGGAGAATTGCAGATATCTGAAACGGCCCTTCTCTACTTAGTGGAATCCTATAGCACAGGAAAAGGCTGTTAGCCAGAACGGTTAGCAGTATACCAACGCACTAGCTGGTAATTATTAATTAGGGTGGCTCGGCTCCATTTCGCAGCACCCACTATGGAAAGCAAGGCGTCTAGGAAAGCGTAGCCCTGGAAAATCGGAGACAGAGCTTAAGTATGTCTCCCCTAAAGCTCGCATAGGGCATGCCTTACGCGTTGGAGAAAGGCTGTCAGAATACCCAGGGGCTGAGCCAGAAAACCAGGGGTCCTTCATCAGTCCCCGAGCTTCGAAGCCCTTCCTCGCCCTTGCTTCTGGGTATGGGGAACTGTCCCCCCCAGGGCGCACCAGTTGTTGGCCTGGTTCTAGTCTGGGAAATGCACTCACAGCGGGGGGAGGGAGGGTAGGAGGGATTAGAAGCTGTTTCCCCAAAACATTGGCCATTCAAGTGTTCCGCGTGTGCCCCCTAGCTCACCCGACCCGGGGCAGACTGCTTAAAAAACGGCTCCGCCTAGGCGAGCAGGGCATTGGGGATCCTCTTTGGAAAGAGACAAGGATCTGGATCTCCACAGCTTCGGCCTGTTTTCCCTTTTCTGTGGTCCTGAGAGGCGCCTGGCTCTTGAACTCCAGGACTAAGGTGGCTCAGGGTCGCCCAGAGTCTGAGGCTGGCTCGGCACAGTTGGAATTGGCAGGGATGCACCCGGCGCCTGGCGTAGGGAGGCGGGGACACGCGCTCCCGGTGGCAAGGCGCCAGGGCTGTCCCCCGCCGCCACTGTCGTTCCCCGGGCTCTGCCCTGGGCGCGGCTGACGCCTAGACCTTGCCTGCAAAGGGCCGACCGCCCCGCGACTGCCCCTTCCGCTCGACCCAGGCGTTTGACTCCCGGTGCACCCAACCCACCGGGGCTTCCAACGGGTCGGAGAGCCCAGGAGGAAGCCAGTGGAGACCAACGGAGGCGCTTCGGGACAGGGCTGGCTCCCAGTGCCCAGGGGTGGAGATGCGGTGGGGCGGGGGAGAGGGGTGGGGAGGCTGCGCTGTAGGCGGAGCCGGGTAACCAGGGCCGGAAAGACGGCTGAGTCCAGCGCGGGAGCCCGGGCTGCAGCTCCGCGCCTCGCACAAGCTTCAGTCCAGCGCCCAGCCCAGACACCCAGCGCAGAGTCCTGGCCTGAAGCACCAGTGTCCGGGCGTCCTTTCTCCCCGGCTGACCCTAGTTTTTCAGCCAAAACCTTTGACCAGAGTCTCCTTGCCAACATTCCTAAATCTTTGCCAGCCCTTGCACCAGGTAGGAGTCGGTCTCTGTGGTGGCAGTGAGTCTATAAATGCCACTTCCCAGAAGGCTTATGACCTTTTCACCTTCTTCACCAGCTCCTTCGGAGGGCGAGGAGCCCGGTTAAGTGCTTGATCAGAGGCCGCAACCAGTTTAAGTCCCTGGGTTGTCCTTGCTATTCATACACCAAACGCCACCTGCTGCAGTTCTCGGAAAGCCCTCGAGGAGGGAACCGGACTAGATGGGGGAGGGGGAGCACCCGGCAGACGCCCGGGGACTCACCTCCTTGGGGGCTGGAGGGCCAGTGAGCACAGTTGCCTGTAATCTAAAGCTGGCACTAGGAGACCTTTGCCAAGGCCTCCTGTCACCCCATGCCCGGTTCTTGCCAGTTTTGTCCCTCCCTTGGGATGCAAAGAAATGGGCCCCCCAACCCCGGATTCAGAATTCCTGGAGCACCTGGGTTTCTACACGGCTGGTCAGTGTCTGTTGGCGGCTGCCCCCTAGCTGAAAGGCGCGCCACCACCCATCCTCTGGGTTCATGTAACCCCAAAGGAGAGGGCATCAAATCTCGGGGAACAATGCAGCCTGCAGCGTCGTGGGGCGGGGGGACGACGGGGGTGGCACCCACCCTCGAGCCTTTACGCAGGGCGAGGAGGCCTTGCTCGGCTGCAGCCAGGCTAGGCTCTCCAAGAAGGTCTGCCTATGCTTTACGTGGCAAAGACAGGATCGCAGTTCTCTGGGCTCAGCGGCGCGTCTCCCACAGCAGCCAGGCTTTCTTCTCCTGATCTATAGTCCCACTCCAAGAGTCCTGGAGCGCCCGGCTGCTTCCCCCGCAAGCCTCAGGCTGGCATCTGGGAAGTGGAAGGGGGGACTAGCTCAGCGATCCTCCCAATCGGAGGACACGGGTGCCTGGGGATTTGGAGTTCCGTGAAGTAGCCGCTAACCCCGGGCTCCCGAAACCCCTTGGCTCCAGGATCCTTGCCTACTGGAGCAGCCTAGCTCAGTCCTGGGGTGCAGAGGAGCACGCCGAGGTAGTCTAGCCGGACCCTGGGGCTGGTACCGCTCGCCTTGTCCCTCCTGACACACACTCGTCCTTGCGTTCTGGGCGCAGACAACCTGCGTGCGCCCTCTGCGCCCTTCTTCCCGCGGAGAGCACCGCAGGGCATGGGGGGAGCCTCGCCAACCCGCCGGGAAAGCACGCTGAGGGAAACTTGAGTGTCTGAGTCTCCAGCCAGGCAATCACTGGCGGAGCTGTGCGGGGAGGGGGCGGGAGGAAGCGAGGGAAGAGCTCTGGAGGGAGGGGGAGGTCGGAGAGGGAGGCGGGTGCCAGTGGAGAAAGTCCTCGCTCTCCCGTTCATCTTTTCATTGCTCTCTCTCCTTCCCGCAGACAACCCGGACCTCCTCTGGGCGCCAGCTCCTCGGCTCCAACCCGTCCAGAATCAAGCGGGATTTTTTTTCCCCCTCTAGAAATTGGCTTTGGTGTGTCGCCCGCCCTCTCCCCTCCTCCTTGCAACTCCTCCCCTCCTTTTTTTTTTTTTTTTTTTTCCTCCTCCTTCTTCTTCCTGAGACATGGCCCGGGCAGTGGCTCCTGGAAGAGGAACAAGTGTGGGAAAAGGGAGAGGAAATCGGAGCTAAATGACAGGATGCAGGCGACTTGAGACACAAAAAGAGACGCGCTTCTCGCGGATTCAGGCATTGCCTCGCCGCTAGCCTTCCCCGCCAAGACCCGCTGAGGATTTTATGGCTCTTAGGCGGACTTAAGAGCGTTTTCGGATTGTTAAGATTCCGGCTTGCTAGGCTTTCGTCCGCGCAATCGTGTTCTCCCGCAGCTGCCTTGGGACTGGCTCGGCGAAGGAGGATGGAGAGGGGGCTGCAGTTGCTGTGCGCCGCACTCGCCCTTGCCCTCGCCCCGGCCGGCGCTTTCCGCAGCGGTAAGTGACAGGCTGAGGTGCGAGCGACCGGAGTGCCCAGGGCTGCCGGGTCCCCTCGGGCGGTGGGCGTCCCGCCCCAGCCGCGGGACGGACGCGCGCACAGCTAGCTGCCAGGCGCAGGAAACTTGCCTGCGCTAGGATCAGAGCGAAGTCAGGGCCTCTGGGGCAGGAGGACCGACCGCAAGCCCTCGGTACCCTGCTCCAGTTGGTTGCCGGCTGTGGGCTTCTCCTGCCAGTTTCGCGGCAGAGTTCCCTACCTTCCCAGATCAGCACACCAATTATCTTAATAATGTTTCCTCCCAGAGGCAATTAGATGAGACTCCCTTTCAAAAATCTGATGGCTGCTGAGAGTTAATGAACACTTCACCGGGAGGACTTCCTGGTTCTCCTCGAAACTCCCCTGCTCGGTGTCCTCTGGTGGGCGACACCGAGTGATAGCGGTCAGTCGTGGCGGTGGCTAGGACTCTCTCCCCCGCCTTTGTAAACCGTTTGTGATCCGTCTGGAGTATGAATGAAAGTCACACTGTCAATAAAGCCTTTGGATCTATTCAGTGCAAGGCACCAGCGTATCTGAGAATCCCTAACCCTGTTGCAGCTTCCAGTTGGCTTTAAAAACCACTCACTGCCAAGTAATGAAAGGCAGCCCTAGATATAAACAGTGCCTTGGAACCTAAAGAGTGTGTTTAAAATGGGATCCGGTACAAACGTGTTCCAAGTCCCCTGGAAAGGTGCTGAAGGCCAGGCAAAAGCTGATCCGAACAGTAAATCTTCAGCATTATTATTAACTAATGGCCAAATATTTACTTTTGTCCGGCTTAGATTTCAATCAAAGTAATTAGGAGAAAAGTGCATCTACTACTTATTGTGGTATATTGTTTTAATAAGAGGAGGCGAGCGGAGGGCTGTATCAGGAAGAGTTTATTTAAATCACTCCTTTATGATAGAAGTTAATCTCCTTAATGCGCTTTCCCCGGGTTTTGTGATTTCAGCGACAGATCTCTCCCAACAGGTACCAAGCAGTGTTCTCAAAAGATATGCAAAAATTTTGTGAACGCGGCTGGAATTCAATTTATTAATGAATCTGAGTTGGCGGCATCTTTCTATATACTCTGGCAGGGAAGCCAAACACTCAAAAAATCATGAATGTAGAGTTCAATTTGTTAATGAACCTGAGTTGGTGGAGTGCTTATGTACTCTGGCAGCGGATAAAATATCATTTTCCTCTAACCAAAAAAACTCCAATGTTTAGACTTCAAAACGGGTATCCTTCACAATGCCTAAGGTTAGAGCTGTAGTTCTCAACCTTCCTGACGCTCCCACCCTTCAGTACAGTTCCTCATGTTGTGGTGACCCCCAACCATAAAATTACTTTTGCTGCTACTTCATAACTGCAATTTTGTCACTGTTGTGATTCATAATGTAAATAATTTTGGAGAGAGAGAGAGAGAGATTTGAGCCGGGGGTCGCGACCCACGGATTGAGAACCCCTTGGTTAGAACCCTGTTGGGGGTATGCCAAAAATGGTCGTGATAGCCAATATGAAGAGCATTAAGATTTGTGTGGTTCTGAACAACACACATACACACACACACACACACACACACACACACACACACACACACACACTTTAATTTCCTTAACAGAAATCTGGGGAATGTTGAGAATCTGGGATCCAGTCAGCTAAAACCCTGTTGCTATGCTTGCGGTGACCAGTGCCAGCACATGCCTCGGTAAGCCTGTAGTCCTCTTAAAACCATGTCCACCTCCTCTCAGTAAGTGTCTACTAAATTAATTCATTAACCTTATTTAGGACTAATGGTCCAGAGTCATTAGGAATTGCTCTCTCCTAATCAAGTGTTAGAGAGACTGAACAGAGTGTGGGAGTCCAGCAGTCCACATTATCTTATTACACTGTCACTTTCTCAGAAGTCACAGATTAAAGTGCTCTGGTGTGGTACTGACTCCACCTCACTGTCTTCTGAAGTGACTAGCTGGCGACTGTTTTATTTCACTCTCTTAACAGATGCCATGGTGGCTACACAGAGCTGGAGGGACTTAATGAGCTGGGGGGTCAGTCTCCAAGATTTCTGCCCAAGTAAAATAATGCCAGAGCCTCCACAGAGTCACACCACTGAGCTGGCTGGCCTCATCAGCTGAGGTGCTGAGTGTGAGTTGCAACATCAGTCCTTCTTACAGACCTGAAGCTTTTTAAAAGCCAATGGGAAGAGAATCTGTAAGACCAACCCCCTCCAAGCTAAGAAACAGCCAGAAACATCGAGCAATTGGAGAAAACAACATAATTTATATTGTCTTCTTTTTAATTTATGGGAAATGACTTCTGTAATGCATGTAGCTTTATGCATTTTTGATGTGCACTTCATCTTTCATTTCCATTTGACCTGGTTTTCCTGTAATAAAATTCCGTAGATTTATAAATTCATGCTGAGAGCAAAGAATGCCATTCTCTTTCCACAGGGAATCTATTAGATGTAATATTAAAATCTATATATACCATTACTGGATGTTTGTGATTGATAGGCTTATATATTTCAATGCTTCGTACCTGTTCCCCTTACATAGTTTATGCACCAAATTTTTATTGCCCCAAATTAAGCATCAATAAATGGGGTGGCATTTGCAGGCTGGGGCCCTCCTGTATGAAACCCATAATAAAAAGTGACAGCAGCGATTCTGCTGAATTGTAAACCAGCCCAGAGTCTGGTTTGTTTGGCTGTTAGAGAATCACTTCAGCATTTGGGTTTTTGTTGTGGTGGTGGCTTGTGTTTCAGTTAAGGCTCAAAACTAGATAGTTTCTCTTTCCGGGGATGTAAAAATGTAGCTCGCCATATGTGATACCTAGACCTCAGTGGCCAGGGCTTCCCCTAACATCTAGTAATTAGAATTAATGCCGTGTGGCTATTTATTTTTCTTTCTGCCCCATTGCTTTGATCTGGTCGCCAAGGCTGAGCAACTTGGATAAGTAAAGCCCCAGCTCCTTCTGCATCGCCGGCTGCACTTTGTTCTCTGCTGATTTGAGTCTCAAAAGCAGAGATAACTCCAAATCACTCAGATTTACAGGCAGATGAAACAACAACAAAAGGAGGTAGGCCTCAGGCCAATCAAAGTCCTGGAAGATGTCCCCACCGGTCAATGACACCGACCAGGCTTATCATCAAAAAGCCACTTGCAAGGGGGTGGCACAGCATCTTTTAGTCACCTTCCACTTAGAACTGTTCCTTAATGTGATTACACTTCTCGGAGGATAATTAAGTCTAGCAGGAGCTCCCAGGGGGCTGTGTTAACATCAATTGAGGGGATTTAATGTTTTTAATGCTAGAAGACCTCTTTCTTTGGAAGGAACTTTGGAGGTGGTGGTGGGGGGAGCATCTCAGATCTCAGCAGGCTTTCTGTGGAAGCCATGCTCCTTGAGATTGATTAGAGAGTGTTCCTTGGTGGTGTGGTGCTCTTTGTGTTTAGGGTCACATGGAGGACTTGTGGGGACACTCTGGAGTTCCCTTTAACTGATAGAATGTTTGCTAATGCATACGTAAATCTAGAAGACTCAACTGGTTGTGGGGGGAAAGAGTTATTAAAAAAAATGTTCTTTTTGTTACAGATAAATGTGGCGGGACTATAAAAATTGAAAACCCGGGGTACCTTACATCTCCCGGTTACCCGCATTCTTATCACCCAAGTGAGAAGTGTGAATGGCTGATCCAAGCTCCGGAGCCCTACCAGAGAATCATGATCAACTTTAATCCTCACTTCGATTTGGAGGACAGAGACTGCAAGTAAGTGAAGGAGTTTGAACAGGGCGCCACAGCACCATCTAGTGGTCATGAGTGTCTGAGCGGTGGGTGTAAGAACTTTGAATGGGTCCCAACCCAGATCAGATCAAATGTCAGTGTTGTGGCAATGAAGTTACAAGAGGCTGAGTTCTCCCAATGTGTAACACTGTATTTTAATGTATGATCGCTTGTCCTCTTTCTGTTGACACTTTTGGTTTGGGAAATCTTTTGTTAAGAAATGTGTGGTGTGTGGTTCTTTCTGGAACGGGTTTTGAGAAAAAGCTTGAGTTTTCTTAAATATTGTGGGTCACCAGTATACATTATCTGCAGATGGTGAAGTTGGGTGTTTTTTAAACAAATCTGTGGCTCATTTAATGATTTTAGAGCTGTGTTTCTCACGGCTGGGGAATGTAGTTCAGTGGCAGGGGTTACCCCAGCACTCTGATTCCAAAGATGGTATTGAGTTTGACATGAAAAAAACAAGTTGTCATGGGGTAGAAATAAAGTATATGGAGTGAATTAGATGACGGTTTGGTATTGTTGTTAGTGTTCATTTGTTTATTTGTTTGTGACGGGGCCTCACTATGTAGCACGAGATGGTCTGGAACTTACTTGTGCAGTTCAAGATGGTTTTGAACTTAGAGATCTGCTTGCCTCTGCCTCCCAAGTACTGTACCAAATTTCAGACATTTGCCACCATGCTGAGTTTAAGTAAGAATTTTAAATATTAGGTTGGTTGTGGAAAAATTTATGAAATTGATGAAAAATTGCACAACTGCAATGAAAACTTAGGTGTGTATCAGGTTTGAATTCATCTGCCTTACCTGGCTATCTGCTTCAACTAGAAGTTAATAAACAGCATGTCAACTTTCATTATTACAATAATATTTTACTGTAGGGATCATCTAAATGCTGCCTACCTCTTTACTTGGCAACCTTGGCATGTAGATGTAGAATTTCAGCTCGTGCATTGTGTGAGGTGAACCACTGAGGTCTTTATAGCTCGTCGCTTTCTGTATCCAGATCCATCTCTGGTGTCTTGCCTACCTGATCCCATTCTGAAATACCGGAAGGAGTGCAGTCCCCAATTTGAACTTGAATATTAGTTCATCTTAATGAAGAAATGGGCCAATTCTTCTCCTTGCTTTGGACTTAACATATTGCAGACATGTGCAATGGTCAACGCTCTTCTATCCGCATACTTTTATTCTTTGTCGAGAACAAAGTGATGTGAAAACATTCCCACCTGTACAAAGGACTCAGCAACCTGTTGGTTTTGTGGTGTGGTGGCAGCCAGCTTTTCATCATCAGGGCATCAAGGTGTCTACTTTATTCAACATGTTAGCGCCCAGTGAATTAGCAGAAATCCATAGACAGACGATGCATGTGTGGATAGTTGGCATGCACGATGGTGCAATGAAGTTATTCTGATTCCTGTTTAACTAAGTCTCAGCATTGGATTGCATTTTAATCTTTTGTAGAATTAATAGAGTGTTCCAGTGCTTTCTAGAAAATAGGAAATTATTTTTATTTTGTTGTTGTTTAGAAGTTCTGGGGATGGAACCTAGGGCTTCATGCATGCTAGGCAAGCATTCTGTTACCAAACCATACCCCATCCTGTTAGTATTCTTTATGGTAACTGTTACAGTGTTAATAGTGCAGACAACTTGGATACTGTGTATTGTATTTACTTTTGCAACTTGACAATGTTTAAACTGCTGTAGGAGATATTTTCAAAAAACTCTGGTAACACATGATTCCTTCCAAAATAAAGTGCTCTTAGATTTCAATAAACTTATGTTTACTGATTTCTGACCAGGAAATCAGGACCATATAGCTGTATAAAGGAATAAAGAGCTCTGAGTGATCACAAGTCATCAGTGGTGGCATGGTAACAATGTTCAACAGCCGATTCTGGGAGGAAGCAAGTCGGGTCCTGATTTTGATTTTGCTCATTTCCATATCTTGACTGTTCCACCGTGGACAGCGTCCAACTCCTCAAGTGATGCTGCCGCGTATAGCCTTGCAGAGGGATGTGTATCAGTAGTGGTTCTAAAAGCTGGTGGATGCTGAGCCCAGCACACCCTGCAGGAGCTGTTTTGGGGGAAATTGATAAACTGTTATGTATATATAGTGCTTTTATGCACACACACAAATATGTACACTAATACATTAGTACACAGACTGTCTCAAGAAATTGATAGTGGGAAATGATGTATGGGAAACTTTACATTGTTATTTGTCATGATACAGGGTAGGATATGACAGTACTGGAGGACCGCCTTTTTAGTTCATTTCCTTCTTTAAAAAAAGACAAAAGGGCCTGACAAGATGGATCAGTAGGGAAAAGCCCTTGCTGCCAAGCCTGAGGGACTGAGTTCAGTCCTTGGGAGCCACAAGGTGGAGGGAGGAAGCCTACTGTGAACAGTTCTCCCCAAGCCTCCCCACATTTACTGTGGGACACAGGAAGGCACGCACACACACATACACACCCGCAACTTAAACAAAAAGATTGTTTCCATAAGGGTCACATGGTGGTGAGATATGAAGAGGTTTGTTTATGGGGTTTTTATTCGTTTATGGCAGAATAAAGTGATGTCTTGATTGTCACATCTCAGGCTATGTGCCTGAGAAGAAGCCACCAGCATCTAAATGCTGATTATTCACTCTGGTGAAGGCAGAGTGATTCTGTTCATGGGAAATGCCTTTGTACCCCCATTCTGAAGTGTAGCTGCGGGGCCTTTTTCCCAATGAAAAACTTCAAAATGTTACAGGGAGAACAGCTTAAGGTATGGCCTCCACTGTCTTTCCAGATCCTACATGGCTCTGGTCACTGTTGAGGGTGGCAGTTAGGACTGTTCACTCAGATGTGCTCACCATCACAGCTTCAGCATCTACAGGTGCTCAGAATTCCTGGAGAAAACAGAGCACACAGAGGTTCTTTAAAAAGCAGCTTTCAGTGTTTATGAAACAGTTCAGCACACCGCATATCACTCCTTGCAAGAATTACTTGCTCTGCAGGTCATGGGGATTCACACATGTGATCCCAACACCCAGGAGGTAGAGGCAAGAGAATCAGGACTCTCAGGTACCCCTCAGCTCCACAGCGGGCTTTAGACAAGCATGATCTGTCTGAGACCTTGCCTCAGAGAACAGCGACCAGTTGTTCATGTTCCCCTTAGTTGAGATGGTTAACGTTTCTCCCTTGCTGGCTGTGGTATGTGGCGGATGACAGTCAAATGACCTGTTGTGCGGTGCATTAGGTTAGTAGTGGAATAAGTTAGGGAGCAGATGTGAAATCACTGAGAAACTAAAAGCTCTCCACCGATACATTTTCCTCATGACTGTAATAGCAACAATTTGGTTATTGTTAGAACATGTCAAAATATGAAAGTGAAAATATGTCACACCGAAGTTATTGATCTTGTAATGGGTTGATTTTCATATAAATACAACCTGCATTTTTTTTCTTGAAATTGCCACTATTTCTACAGTCAACTTCCACCATGAGAAAGTAAGCAAGACATCAATTTCTTATAACATTCACTGAGGAGAAACATCTTCGAGACCCAAGGAAGCAATTCTCTTTCCTAGGTTGGAGGGCTGGAAACATAATTAGACCAGCCAACTAGTTTAGCAGGGAAAAAAAAATCTCTATTTAAATGTTCATTGTTTTGTTTATAATTATGTAAAAGCCATCCTATAACTCTGACAGTTCAAGATATAATCAGGAGCTTTTCATGTGAATCGTTCTAAAACTGACCTAGCTCATATGTCAACTGTGGACTTACTTTCCAAAGTAAGAGTTAGGTTCTCACCGTGGTTAGAATGGGGGTGGGGGTGGGGTCCTTGGGGAAGATGAATGTGTAAGTGATTGCTGAGATTCTTTTTTTTTTTTTTTTTGAACATGCAGCAGTCCATGTTGATGGTGCCATTCAATGGGTTCATTACACATAAGCACTGAAACCATTGGTAATATGACCCCTTCCATTGTTTTATTGAAGAAGGTGTGGTATAAATCAATCAATGAACAGACAGCAGCGCACCTGTCTTCAAGGCTCACGAGGGGCTAGGGTTTCCAGCTGGATGTTCTTGTGTTGACATAAGAGACAACAGTAGAGAGCTCTGAGAGGGGAAGGCGTTGAGGAGATGCCGGGGACAGTCACTTTTTCCCTTCACACTGGCCAAATCCTGCGTGTTTAGGAAGCGTTAAAGCACCGTTAAAAGTGGAGCAGCTGAGGTCTGAGGAAGAAACCGCCACTGTACACTGGAAACGTCCAACTGCTCAGAACTCCTGCTCCAAGGCTTCCTTCAGTGGTAAAGGCAGACATCTTGAGTCTCATAAAACTTTATTTCTGTATAATAAACAAGAATGCCATTGACGAAGTAGTTAGGATTTATGGAACTTCTCTGGCTTCCCAGCAATGCAGGCTATCAGCATGATAATTTATAATGGTTTGTGACAAATACTGCCGAGCTGAGAGGTGTGTGGTTACATTCAGATCGGATGTCTTTATCTGGGGAGCGATAAAAATTTCACAGACATTGGGTTAAAAACATTAAGAAAATGAATGTGAAGCTGCAGAAGAAAGGCCTGTGAAGGTGGGCTGGGGAAAGAGCCCAGCCGAGGGGTTATGGACCCCCCCCCCCACTTCCATTTCTTAACTCAGCAAGGACGCTTCTCTCCCTAACTTCTTTGGCCATCTCCTAGGAATCACCAGGGATAGGTATGTTTCTGAATTCCGTGCAGCTAAAGGAGCCTTTCGCTCCTGTGACTCCATCTGAATCACGATGAAATTATAATTAAATAGAGATGATAGTCAGATCATAGAGGGATTGATAAACTAAATCACACCATGTTTCCTTATTGCTCCTTTAAAATTTCCTAAATGTTTACAAGCTTTGAAACACTGCTGATCCGATTTACTTTCGAAGAATGCAAACTCATTTATTAAAACTCAATCTGTCCTTGGTTCCTTAAATCTGATTATCCCTGCAAATTA